GTGAGATACTGGTATGTTATTAGACTTCTTTTTCACCTGATAGAAAGTACCGATGAGGTCAATGATGGACCATGCACATGTAATAAAAAAACCAACCTAAAAAGTCATTCTCCCCTAGTTTGCCACCCACAGAGGTGGAATATTTTCTTCAAATTTAAATGGGTGGTCGCATTTAAACTGAGGTACCCTCTTTTTAACAAAAAAAAAGAATCATCAAAATCGGTTCACAAATGCATGAGTTATTGCGTAACATACATAAAAAAAAATACAGTTGGATAGAGAACCTCCTCCTAATTTGAAGTCTGTTAAAATAAAGCTAAATAATATCCTAGGTAAACATATTGAGGAAGTACTCAATAGGTTTTAGCATTATTACTTAAATGAAATTTGTTTGAAAAGACATGACGCTTTCAGATTGACCTTTGTTACTTGGTCCATGTCTCACCGATTTTCAAGAATTGGTCATTCTAAATTGGTTCTGATCTTGGTATTTTGGGTACTCCATAGTGAATACCATTGCTCTGGTACTCATATTACAGGTATATATACGCAATTTAGAGAAAAAATAAATAATTTCCTTTATAGCAATCTCAAACTAGGAAATTGCCTGTAATATGAGTACCAGAACAACACTATGGAGTACTACTCAAAACACCAAAATCAGAAGCAATTTAGAACGACCAATTTTTGAAAATCGATGAGAAATGGACCAGCTAACAAAAGTCAATTTAAAAGCGTCAGCATTTAAATAAACCAGATTATTGCTTTAAATAAGGTCATGAAAGCAAAGCAAATGACCAGGTAACATCTAGACAAAGAGGGAGAGATTATGATCAACAGGCTGGTTAAGATTATCTATACTATCAATTCGGATTCCTATTCCCCTATTCATCCTATTAGGAATTGGGACCTTCTTATCAAGTCCCCACAGCACTATATCACCTAAGTTGTCAAATGTATATTGATATTTCAGCATATAATTCAGACAATCCAAGAGAGGACTCTGGCCATGGTCTCCCCACATACACCCAACACAGGTTGCCAACCACATTCTTTCAAATGTTATTTATGAAAATGGACAACAATCAACATTTTCCTTCAAGTGTTATTTTAAATTGTTTGTTGATCATTAAAAGATAATCTTAAATACGTTTATCACCATTTTGATCTGTAATCAACTGTCTAGTCTTTATCAGATGGATTATTTCGTTTGTTTTATTTTTCAATTTTTATTTGTGTATATTAAGACACATCACAATAACAATCTTAAGGCTTTAACATTGCTGCCTCCTGCTGAACTGCCTCCGTGGCCGAACGGTTACCATGCCGGACTGCCACGCAGAGGTCCCAGGTTCGATTCAATGTTTGTATGGCCTACATTTATTTCTCTCGTGAGTTTGGGTGTAATTTGTGGTTGTCTATATGTGTGTCCATGGCACCCGCGACACAGGGTTTCCCTAGTTCGGGGCTATGTTGAGTGTGTGCGTTCTTTATTATTTATTATTATTATTGAGATAGTTGACAGATATTCACATCTTTTATTTGGAGTTGAACATGTCAACACTTCAGTTGCCTAATTGTCATTGTCTGACAGTCTCTTTAGCTAGCTTATTGCAGTGATTTTTCATTCTGTCCATGATTTCTGTCACCAAATATCGACCCCTTCTATGTAAAATACTGTATGTCGAAATTGCCAAGTTTACAGGGGAGTGTTTTAAAATTTTGAATTCACAGAGTATATTAATCAACAGAGCTATAGTATGAGGATGGCTGCTTCACTAATCCAGGTTACGTACACAGTCAATATCCTAAGACACCCCGACTCAAATTGAATATTTGGTTTGCATAGATCAATGTGAAGATAGGTGTTAAACAAACTTTAAACCAGTGAGTCATAAAATTCAAATTTCAAATTTTGATATGACTTCTATATTGCATCATTAGCTAATGACGTTTCAAGAAAGTTTTTAAGCCAATTTGATCTTTAATATGTAAAACAAAACTGGAATTATTTTACACTTTTCTGTTGAACGTGCAAGAAGGCTCTCAAAAACAAAAGGTCAGCAAGGGGGTCAGGTATCTTAAAGCATTGATTAGTATACTACACTTGTGAATGTTTTGTAGCAATACCTTCACAAATGGTCAAGGAAAACATTGTGAATAACAACTTGCACATCAAAGATATTCACAACAATATTAATTAAACATAAATAACATTTATATAAATGTGCATGTCACTAGTGTTTGAATGTTCATTTCTTTAAACATCTCTCTCAAATCTATCAGGAAGGCTGGGGTATCTGTCGACCATTATAGGACAAAGGCGTGAAGAGCATGTATGTAAAAATGTAACAGTGGTGGACAATGGCAACAATATTTCACAGCTTAGAGGCGACTTACACTCAGAAAAGGCTTGTATCATCGTAATACTGTAAAAAACAATTATCCGTAACCGTACTGCCTTTTTTATCGAAACTAACATATTCAACATATTTAGCGAAATTGAATTAACATATCTGAGATCAGAAAAACAAGATCCACAACTCCTTCTAATTGTTTTTTTTTTATATATTATTTAGTTTCAGTTTTATTGTTGAGCAAAATCAGACTAAATGCATTCTATAAGGTGACAATAGTGCCAATATCTCGAATGTAACCAAAATGCTAATGCATTAGCTATAACAAGGAGGCAGCATAGGAAAAGCACAACATAATTGGTTATATGTAAAAGTTTCAGCAAAAAATAATCACAAATTTACATGGGGGGACCACAGTATTTGTAAGAAATATTGCTCATTGAAATTTCAGTTGCATTTATTTCGGCGCCGCCGGCCTCAGTTGGCGATTCTTCACAGGAGAACCAACCTACAGAACTGGGCACCACTGACTGGGGCGTAGAGGACTTTGAATGTTAATGATGGGAAAATTGACCTATTTACCTGTTCTCTGCGTGAGTTCCATAAAATAGCTTTACTTATAATGTGTTATGGAATATAATATAGAATATAATAGAAGGATGGACATTCACTCGGACATTATGTAAACAGTTATAAGCCTTTGAAATACGGGTTTATAGAAGAATTTTGAAAATATTAAGGATGGGTAGAATCACCAATTACAGCATATTGCAGAGGAGGCACAAAGGCTTGGAGCTCCTGAAAACAGTAAATAGGAGGAAGCTGCAGTACTTCTGGCACATCATTCAGAGTGATAAATACTCTCTACTGCAACTCATTCTGCAAGGAAAAATCTAAGGCCGCAGAAGACATGGCCGTAGAAACACCACATGGCTTCAAATATTTTGCAGAATGGTTCAACATAAGTACCACAGAACTGTTCAGAGTAGCTGGTTCACGGATCCAAATTGCCACAATGATACCAGACTTTCGGTGGGAGATGGCACCTCAAGAAGAAGAATGGAATATAGTAACAGTTTGTAATATAATATGGTACAATATAATTTAGTAATATAATTTTGAATATAATAGTGATGTAATTAATAATATTGGACAAGTGATAGTTTTGGCTACACTACTGCATTAGGTTAGTTCTGCAATGATAGTTACTAATTTGTATATGTAAATAAATAAATAATTTTTGTTAAGTAATTTTTTGTGAAATAATTGTTTTTCTCATTATAACAGAGATACTTGGATATTATATGCTATACATAAATGTAGGATAGTAAGTTAGTACACTATAGTAATAAATTGTTTTAATTCTATGTTTTACTAAACAAATTGTTAATAGCTACCTACATTGTTGTTCAAGTTACATGAATAAAAAAAAAAGAAGTGGTGTTAAACATACTTGTTGGGTATGTCTAGCTACATATTGGTTGTCGAAACCTGCAAAACTACTTTTGGTCACCTAATGAACCGGAAAAGTATGCTTAATTTACATTTATTATGGATTTCTACATATTCTACATACTAGGTTTTTTTAAAAAAAAAACGTCTAGCGTTAGTTCTCTCTCTACCCACTTACGGTTAAAAAATCTTAGAAAATAACGGTAAATCATTAGATTAAAACGTTAAAAGCCATCTTAAGACAAAAAAAGTAAAAGTACTCAGTTTCTGACAAAGGAATAAGATTTTGCAATCAGCAAGGGCAAAAACACGATCTTTCACGTACTAAAATAACCATCTCAACCCACCTTAATCTTCACTTCTTTTAGAATATCTCATGGCACTTTTTCTAACACTACACAAAAACAATAAAAATAACGCATTAAAACAAAAAATATTGAATTACGACTGATTTTTGTTCACGACAAAATACCTGCAGTTTTCTTTTGACAGATGTCGTATGCTATTATACTACTGAACCGAGCAACACACATCGCAATAACCTAGTTATAGAAAATGCGTAAGTCGAAATTTAGCCAGATTATACTTACGTAGCACCCCGTTTTACACTGTCATCGACCACATTTCACTCGGATCTAGCACAACACAGTAACAATAACGCTGATTTTGTTTTATATCACAATTTCTACAATATGTAGATATTTTGATTTTTACAACAATCTACTGCAAAATTAGTTTGTTCTTTCGATTATTTCCTCACACACAATCACAAGAAAAGAAACAAGAGGAAGATTGCTTGCACTACGTTTTGTTCCCCCTAGATGGCGCTTTGTAACATCTAATTTTTTTTTTTCGTTTATGGTTGCATTCAATATAATACTACGCAAACCCCACATGCAAGAAAAAGGCATTGAACTAATACACTCTTTTCAATGCAGTCGCTTAGAATCGTTTATGTAGCCCAATCCTTGGTGTTTTTCTCTTTCTAACTACACGGAAAGATAAAATACTTTTTCTCCTTCTTTCAAGAGTCAATAAATTGCTACAAGAAATAACTACCGATGATTGACGACAGTTAGTTTGTCGTTTCAATCAAACAATTTTTTCTTATTTTTATAGAATTATTAGTATAAACTGACTGACTGTAACTGCAACTAAATCGTTAAGCACACTTTCGCATCTCATCAGTCCTAATCTGAGTAGTCTCCCACCATGTGTTATGTTATAATAACCGGTCGAAGTTTGGTATGGCTGTTACTAAGTTTAGTTGCATTTATGTTCATTATAACTGGTATTATGACTCCGAAATGGTTGTTAGGGCAACCTATAGTGATTAACGAGAATAATAAGACGAGTTTTTATACCCCTAGCGTTGGAATTTACAATCGGTAAGTGATTTTTTCAACAAAATGTTTGCCGATGTTGCCGAGTTTGCAGGGGTCTTATTCCACTTCCTGTGGGTAATTATCCCTTATTTGCTCGTATTATGACCGTATACTTTGTAACACAACAGTCTATTCCTTTAAGCTTTATTATAAAACGAGTTCAAACATAATAAAATTATCCTACTTTTTATGTTAAAATACTACAGAATGTTTCAAGTGTATATACGTTATGTACAATGTGGCTCGTTATATAAACAATTAGGTATTTCCGGTTTAAGTATGAGGTATGTGCTACTGTTAAGTACAGTATGCAGGCTGGGCTTTATGCTTCAATTTTAATATAATCCTACACGCCATTAACTAATAAAGGTGATGTTCCATACTAAATATTCATCTACTTGAACCAAATGTATGGTACACTTGATTTTTGGCTCAATTTTGAAATAGCTGAATGTCAAATTGATATTTGATATAATTTAAAAAAAAAGTAAATGTGATGCCATCTCATTCTTTTTTTATTGAACCTTGGCCACACACAGGACACTCCATATAACGGTCGAAAATTATTTACCTACTATTGCTACATACAGCAAAGCACTATCTGCATACACACAAATGTGTGCGTGAAGTGGCAGAGTTACCCATCACTTTCTTGCACTATTAAGTAACATGATCAGAGCGGGAACATAGCGAAAATGCTAACGTGAATCTGTTATCCATGATTCTATTAATAGAATCCAGGATCCAAATATTTACACATGTCTATTATGTATTTATATCGATATAATATAATATTTTTCATTAAATCACTAACTAGAGTAATATTGAAGATTTATTTAAAACATTTTGGGCTTTTAATATAGCCCTTAAAATGTTATATTTGGGATGTATACTTTTAAATATGGTAACCAATGTATTTGTATACATATATATTCTGTATATTATCTTAAAATAAAAACGAATTATCTGTTAATATTTAGGTACTTACTTAATATTTATCGGCAATTCGAATTGAAAATTCAAGAACCCTTGTCTACGACGCCATGACGCCTCATTATATTCATATAGTAAATCTGTATTTTTTATGCATTCATATATTACTCTGCAGTAAATAAATGAAGAAAACAATAACTGAATGAGTCCCACACATAAGTTTTTTTGCTTACTTTGTTTCATCGTTCGGAAAATGATGATAAACAGCCATACACAGCACAATTCACAACCATTATAAACAGTAACATGAAATGATGTTTTATATTAACATACAAGTTTCGTAATGAATAAGTGAAAACTATATTCAAATATCAAAGCTGTAAAAAATATCTTGTTGTTGTTCAGTCAATGTGACCGGCAATGTGAGTGGTGCGTTATCTAAAGCTAGGGAGGGGTGGAAAGTGTCCATTCTCTTTACTTTTTGTTCTTTGCCTTGGCTACAAGGGGAGCTTTAAAATTTTGCACAAACATAAAAGTCTTTCTGCGCAGAAAATGAATCTGATCGATTAGGTAAGAAGTGTAACACGCATCCCGCCTCCACGCCTTCTTTGATGCCTTTCTAAAGTCCTACCTTTTTTTTTCTGAAGTTTTGGTAAGAAGGGTTCCTTGTAATAAATTGTTTCTATTGGTGAGTACAGACTATTGATTAAAAAAATATCTCTAACCTTAGGTACACAGTTACTTTAAAACTTGTAAAGGCTACATTTTGCTGAGTACAGCCTAATCCTTGAGCAATGTTCTTTTATGTTACAGGTGTATAAGAATGGAGAAAGACCACAACAACTGCGGTTCCTTCTCTTTCTATGGCTTGGCTACTGATTCTGCTGTTTACCCTACACCGTGGAAAGCAGCTATGTTCTTCTTGTCCTTATGTAAGTGTCTGTTAAAGAACTACCTATAGTACCAAACTCATACAAGCTCCATACCAGGAAGGCACAGGTCACAACCAGAGGACATAAAAACTGTGAAAGTCAGGGTAATCGTTCATTTCCCTCATGGCCTTGGTTCTGAACTGTAAATAGTGGTGATCATAATAAATCAGTTGATGGTCGCAGTGATGAGGCACTGCAAAAGCCCTGAATGATGCCCTCTAATAACAGTATTAATAATCTCTACTAGGCATTAAAATTATTTATATATTGGTGCTATAAATATATAGGCTGTTTTTTAAATGCTGTATTTATAAACTATATTTTAGAATACAATTTAAAAAAAGACATCTAAAACTTATGTATCAAGCAAAATTTCGTTTTTTTTCGTTTCATTTGTTATTTAAATTTTATAAGTGGCATTAAAGTAGTGAAATTTTCTGCTAATATTTTGTATATAAGGCTCTGTATTGGCTCAATCAGTGTTGGTATTTGAGGCAATCATTGTTGTAAAATGCATTGAGTATATAACTAGAAATAGAGACGAAATGTCATTTAATTTGTTTCAAAACTATTCTGCCATATCGTTACTGTGACAACTGCGCTCCGATTGGCTAGCCCGAGTTCGAAACAATTGACGGGTGTCATCAATGGGTGTCAACTGTTTCACTTCAAATGAACCAGTTAACTAGAGCTTTGCTATAATGGACGAAAATTACAAAATTACATATTTAATATTTAAGTACCGATGAAATGTGATTCCGTTTGTTTTGTAATTAGATGTTTTGCTGTTTTTCCCACATCGCCGAATAGAACAGCACGGCATTGTTAGAGATATTATCTTTATTACAATAATAGAGTAAACTTTTTGGAATGTATGGAGACGTACACACAGGTCAGTAGTTGGCCTGTCTATATTTCCGTGCAAACGAGAGTTGATATTTATAAGAGCTGTATCGCTAATGTGTTACCAGGAATATATGGGCCTTATTTCGTCTCAATTTCTGGTTATATACTCGATGTAAAATGTAAAATTTCTAGTTAAAGATATAAAAATGAAATTTTATTTGCTTAATTTTCTTATTACAGTTTACTAAACTAAATAAATGCTAATAAAATCAACCAAGCACTTATTATTCGCAATCCAAAATATATTTTTTATGTTTACGAGATTATCCATGACAGTTGCAGTACCACTCAAATCTTTAAATCACAAAGATCTGAGGGGCACTGCCACTGTGCCCGTCACATTGTGCCTGTAATTGCGTACCCTTCAAAACCGGAGCTTAAATTATTTGTTACACCCTGTATATCTACTATTACAGGTTCAGCCATCCAGTTTATGACAGTGGTAGCGGGCATAATGGCGTGTTGTGTGCAATCTGTTTTCAAGAAGAGCGTGATATCTTTAGCTGGAGCTACACAGGCGTTGGGAGGTAGGTTTTCTCTAAATACAACATTTTATTATTGTAGTAGAATACGTCCGCTAGTGTGCCACCCTTAGAGGTGGAATATTTTCTTCAAATTTAAATGGGACCAATACTGAGAATAAGTCACCGACGTAGCTCGAAGCATTAGCAAGTTGAAGTGGCAGTGGGCAGGGCACATAGCTCGTATAACTAACGGTCGTTGGAGCAGAAAGGTTCTCGAATAGAGACCACGAACCGCAAGGCGTTCAGTCGGACGGCCTCCTACTAGTTGGACGGATGACCTGGTAAGGGCGGCGGGTAACCGATGGATGCACGTTGCGTCCGATCGACTGAACTGGAAATCTTTGGGGGGGCCTATGTTTAGCAGTGGACGTCTTCCGGATGATATGATGATGATGAATACTGGGGTACTCTCTGTTCAACAAAAAAGAACCATCAAAATCGGTTCACAAATGCCATACGTAACACACATTGAAAAAAACGTACAGACGAATTGAGAACCTCCTCCTTTTTTTGAAGTCGGTTAAAAATGGTATCAAGCGGCATTAATGTCAACACACGCACACGCACACACTTGTGGACTGACCGACTTGACGACATTCGTGATAGAATGGCTTGCACACCGGTTTCACAGTGTCGCCACCTTTGAGGTCCCGGGTACGATTCCCGGCCTGGTCAATGTAGAAAACGAACATTTTTGTATTGCAATTTTCAAGTTTAGCAGCAGTAGAGCTTCTTATATAGAGTTTGTCCAGGGTAGTACTGCCACCTTACCTATTTCTGCCGCCAAGCTACTGCTTGGCACATTACTATGTCAGCATTACTGTCCGGTTTTGAAGGGTAAGGGTGCTGGTGAAATTACAGGCAAATGGGACTTTGTCTCAGCGTGACGGGCGCAGTGGCAGTGCCCCTCTGCTCTTTGCGATTTAAACTTCTGATTGGCACTGCAACTGTTATGGGCAGGCGTCTAGCTTACCATCAGGCGCACGACTTGTTCGTCCCGTCACTTAATATTAGTATTAAAAAAAAGACCGCGTATTCCGGTATTTAGTGCGTATTGGTACACCAGATGTCCTTCCTGCCCAAATGTCAGAAATCTGCGACAAATGGTCACATTGTTTTCAATCTCAATGTGATATTGACATTGGCAAGAGGCCTCTTGTCAAAACGTTCCTTGCTAACTTTCTTGTCTCTTATTTAAATATTTAAACATATTTGTCACATTGTCTTTTATTTTTTGTTTTATGTCATTATTGTTTAACTGGTTATTTGATTAGGTATTTCATAGCTTTAATGTGTTATGTGTGTACTATAAAATAACCAATACTTTAGGTAGGTAAACATTCAGTCATGCTTAAAGTGAAACGTACGTATAAGAACGTTACCTAATCTATGGTCGAACTAAATCAATTGCGTTATGTTCTTGCATTTATTCTAAAACACATTGTTTTATAATTTCTTTATTCCAGACTTCTAAAAATATACAAAAATATATTCATAAGTAGGCATGAACTAAAACGTAAAATTATACTAGCGAAGTCCATGAACGGCTCTTCGTTGATTTTATAATTATTGGGTCGGCTTTCGCATCCTTCTTTGGTAGTATTTACTTTTAATTTTTTTTTATTAGTAACTGGACTTGTTCTTGACCTCGAAGATGGAGTCTACAATGGAACGTACTCGCCCAGAAGATGCCTATTCAGTCTTCCGTCTTTCGTATGCTTGGAAACTTAACTTTTGGTTCCGCCTTCGCCTTTCCCTCATCAGGGAACTAGACGTAGGCTGGGGTTTCAACTACTATGCTATGGATATTCCAAGGATTCGCAAGAAGTTCTTCACTTTCACATTTCATATTTATATTATAGACTTGTTTCCCGAACGGTATAACTTGGACCTTTTCAAGGCGAAAGTGAATAGGCATTATTTAGGTATGCATGCTCCATCATCGACCTCTTCGTCACTTTCCATCAGGTGAGATGGAGGCCAAATGCGCTGTCAACACAGTCGCAGGCAGGGAATTCCATTTCTGGGCTGTGCACATAATAAAAGATGGCTTTTCTTTCAGATCGGACTTGTGTTTTAATATAATGTTTTGACATTTTCCAGGTCTATTTGGAGTCCTAGGTCTACTTTTGTATCCGTGGGGCTGGGGTGCTACCAGAGTGAAACGAATGTGCGGAGATTACTCCGAACCTTATATACCTGGTGATTGTTCTATAGGTATGTCATTGTCCACATTTTGTCACATAAATTATTTTTATGTTATATGTTTTCATGATATATTATAATTGCTTTATAAATAACTGATTATAGTGCGTTCGCATTCGTTAATACCTACAAATGGAATCAACATTTGTTGTAGTGAATTCAACTAGTAATTAATATAATAATTGTTATAAAATATTGCTTGCAAAGATAATCCAAAAACCATCGTTGGCATATTGTAAGTGCCTGCAAAGGTATTGTTAGCAATTACCCGGAGCACATAAACTGTCTTTTTTAGAAGATACCTTTTGCAGAGGCGTTTTATTTATATTTTTAACAACTTTTTACAGAAGCTTCCTGAAATAGTGAAAAAAGTATGTTTAGATAGAAATTAGGTAGTAAATAGTTATATAAAAAAAATATGTACTGCTAGAACCATGAAAAACGTAATGTGGTCCAACCAACCTGATTAGAAGATTGAAAATATGTCAATAAAGGTACT